GAAGCGGGGAGGGCTCAGGAGCATGGGCAAGGGCACCCTCTTGCAGTGCCAGAGACTAAGCAGGGTGTCACATGTCCTTACTCTGCCTAGGTCGCGGTCCTTCTCATCTTCACCTTCTCCTTCCCCGACACCATCTCCGCACAAAGCGCCTGTGAAAGTTAAAGGGGAACCTGCACTGCCTGTTGGAAAAGGGTAAGCCTTCCTGTCTGCTTGGAACACAGGGCATGAGAAATGGCCTGGAATTGCTTGACCTTGGGGCTTTTATGGGATCTGGGGGGTGGAGTCCTGGCCCTCTTTTTCCCATCATGCTTGAAATTGAAGTCAGAATGTCCTTTGAGTAGATGGGCATTAAGTTTTGAGCATTTGAGGATGTAGCAGCTCTAAAAATAGCAACTCCTTACTTGGAAAAAGTAGCTCATATCGGAGCTCCAGAAGCGGATGGGTGGGTGCACACTTCTTCAGTTGGAAATAATGAGCCAACAGGCCTAAAATCTGGTAGAGAAGCTTCTGCTGATAGCTTTAGTCTCTTGGCTGCCACTTGCATGGGCGAGTCACGTTACAGTAGAGGGAGATATCTGTGTACCCGCATGCAAATTAAAACAAACACTACAGTTCTGTCAACTGAAGTGTTTGTTTAAGTGCTTATGTCATCACTCGTGTCTTCTTTTTAATTTTTGTTTGATATTTCGCAACCTCCCGTTGTCATAAAATAGGAAGTTGGGTTTATGGGAGGATGTGTCACTACTAGAGTGACGTCACTCTTACTGGGTACCTAAATGCCATTTATGAAAGACCTCCAACTTTGGGGCTGTGCTGCAGCTGGTCCATAACCACGGGTGTTCACCTAATGCGGGCTTTGCTCATCTTGACCTTGGGTCAGCATATCACGAGCCTCTAAGCTGCTTTGGATGCCACCATTTATATGTGGTCACCTGCTAGACAGACATGGGGAATTCTGCTTTCTTTGATTTACTCGACATCACACCTGTTCAATATTTGGTGTTCCACAATGGAGGAAGCAAACCTGTAATACATTACACGGGCAGGAAATAATAGGTGGTTCTTCTGTAATCCAGTCACTTCTAGCACAGTTAATAGTGGGTGTGGCATCACTATCAGTACACTGGGTGATAAACAACTATTGACAGTGATCATGAGCCTCATAAAAAGCACGACTTGATTGAGCTGACATCCCTTTGCCATTTAGTACCCTCCTCATAAAAGCTGGAAGTGATGCCCAAGGACACTTGTGGTGATCATATGTAACCTCAACCATAAAATTGCAATGCTCAAGATCAGGGGCTAGCACCTTGAAATTGAGGTTGGCACAAACCAGTTCATTTTCATGTGCAGAGGACTGGCTCAGGAATACGTGCCCAAGGCAAGAGCCTGTGTGTGGCTTGTTGAGCCCAGCACTGTATTTCATCAGGGATGTGTGCTGGATACATGTATATCACAAGAAGCTCATTGGAAGTAGGCCCTGTGAAATAACCTCTACACTGGGGGAGTGGGTTCTCACCAAGATTATGATGTAATCACATGTCTCTTTTGAAACAGTTTGTGTTGGTGAAGTACACGTTGCATTCCCTCTTCCAAAAGTCCCCAGTTAAGGCAATGAATCTCAGGTTTCACTAGTGGGAAGTAGTGGTGCATTGCATTGCTTCTGAAACCCCCTGTGGCATGTGCCAGAGCTCAGTCACAAACAAGACCATCAAGCCCTATTTTTGCTTTACAGTGAGAAGTCTGTGAAGAAACTAGCTTCTTTGCCAGCCCCTCAGCCACTGACTAAAATTACAGCAGCTGCCCCAGAGCCAGCCAAGCCAGGGGATAATAGAGAGGCCAGGAGGAAGGAGCGTCAGACGAGGACTCCGCCCCGGAGGTAAGAGGAGGGCTCGTCCCCTATGTGATCAAGGAGCCCTTTTCCTTGCTTCCTAGACTCCCCAGGAGTAAGGGGCTGGTGTATGAAAACAAACCAGGCTGGGCTTCTCCTCGGTGTCTGCAGCGGTAGAATACACGAAGCACACCACTAGTGAACTTGCACAGGATAGGGAAGATGCATGTGGATCGAGGTGTGTAGCTGCTGGTAAAGCAAAGGAAGCTGGGAGCCACCAGGAATCCAGAGAAGAAGCTACTTAAGGAAATAATGGAGCAGCAGCTGATGTGGGGTTGATAGTGGAGCAGCTGATGCCTAGTGTACCCCAGGCATATCTAATGCTGAGAGAGTTTCTGCCCAGCCCAAGAGATGCTTAACTTCCCTCCCTTCCTGTAGGCAGAGGAGAGAGAGACAACCCTGCTTTTTGTGATGCAGGTGCCTCCAGTAAAAAGCTTACCAGCTGCCATGCCCCAGTTTTAATCTCTGTCTCTGCTGGGTGCAGCCAGTCTCCTGTCTTCGTAAGAGACTCATTCTCTCTTTGTCACTCCACTTGTTATGCTTAGCTCTTAGCTTGGCAAGGAGCAGTTGCCCTTGTTCCTTAATAGTGACTAGAGAATAGCATTGGGAAACCTGACTTGCCTCTGTCTCAACCTGGAGGCGGGTTGCTAAGATAAATGCCTTTTCCCCTATTAAAAAAAAAAAATTAGTAGCTCTGGGTTATGCTGACATGGGTTAATGCCAGGTGTCCTTTGGCACATCCCACATCCTCCAAAGTTCAGAGCTGCATGTAGGTGTTCTCACGCTAGAAGGTGGAACACTCTGTCCCTAGCTTGTAAATAAGACGATCAGGCCCAATTAAGTACATGGTAGCGAGCTAATCCCCAGAAAGCAGCCCAGCCTCCTAGCCAGCAGCGCAATCTTGTGCAATTAACAATTTCCTTTGTAGGAAAACACCATTCCTCATCCCAGAGAACAGGAGTAAGATGCTGTAGCACAGGCCAGGCTCTGTTTAGTGCTGACCAACATCCTTCAGTCCTGCACAGAATACTTGCTGTCCAGAAGCAGGCTGCTTACTCACAGGGCAGGATGGGGATGCCTGGTTTGAAAAGCATCCAAAACCAGGACCTTGACCCTAGCTCTTTACTTTCCTGACCAGTGTAAATCAACATCTATCTGCATTGATGCGTCTCGTTCCCTGTTGACCAGGCACCCAAGTAAACACCCTATTGCAACTGTTTCTCCACTGACCAGCCTCAGGGGAAAGTGACTTCTTCTGTTCTGTTGCAGGCGGACTGTAAGTGGCAGCATTAGTGGCAGCGCCAGCAGCTACAGTGGCTCCAGCTCCCGCTCTAGGTCCTTGTCTCGGTCTCTCTCCAGATCTCATTCCCGATCAACATCTGCCTCAGTTTCCCCCTCCCGATCTGGGTCCAGAAAATCCAGGTAAAGCCTCACACTTCCCAGGCTTGGCCAGAAGGTAACAAAATCCCGTGTGTAACTGTTGTGTGTCATGGGTTTCAGAGTCTGTTGCAAGAAAATATTCCTTAAGAGAAGGCTGCGTGGGGAGAGGATGCTTTGCTTGCAGTATATAAATGTGCCCTAAACTTTAGGAAATGAAGGCAGAAACTCTTGAGAATTGCTGTATTAACTCATAGTAAGAAATGATGAAATAAGGCTGAGCATGAACCATCAGTATTCATACTGAGTTGAAGTTACAGCCTCCTTGCCTTGTTTGCCAATCTTAATTGAGCTCTGACCTTCCTGCTGGGGAGAAATTCCCTGAATTCCTTATTTCTGGGCTAATAGGCCTTTGGTGTACAGCATCACTGCTATTCCAAGCCCTTCCTAAATGTAGTTGTCAAACCTCTCTAGGGAAGATACCTGACCTGTCAGCAGTGTTTGCTCAAGGTATTCAGAAGATCTGCCCAGTAGCAGTGCTTTGCACTGTTATCCCATCTGCTGATGAGGTTGTAAGACCAGTTCCTGTTGTGCATTTAGCCCCAAGACACCATTCTTTTAAGAGAACAGTGATGTGGCTGTTAGCAATCCACAAATTCCACTAAAACTTTAGGAAGAAGTTCAGGAACAAGTCCTCTCCAAGTCCGTGTCTCCGCGAATTGGGAAGTCTGGTTCAAACGCAGGACAGGAGTCTTTCTGAATCTCTGTAAGCTGTTATGCTTTCCATTTCTCCTAAGTTCTCATGCACTCAGGCTACCTTGGGTATGGAGCACAACAGAAGCTGGCTTGAATCCAGGCTGATTCACTGGTCTGAGCACTGCAGGATGGCGAGGTTGAATGTCACCATTATTTTCTGAGGATGCAAAGGGGTGCTGCTGCCTTATCTTGTTCAGTGTGTGCAGGTGTCTGGGAGGCAGTCTGCCTCCTGCAGTGTGCTCTCTTCATACCAAGTCATTCTGCAAGTTTGCAGATGATCCCTGGTGCTTGTACAGATAGCTGAGGTTGGAGGGCAGAGTGGGACAGTAAGTCACAGCCCTGCTGAAGCATGAAACACAAGGCAGGTGGTGTGTTCACTTCCTTGTGACGTGCTGCTGGTGAGAGCTGCCTGCACAGGCCAGCCTGTATTGGAGCATCGTGCCTGCTCTGATTCCAGGACCGAAGTGCTTCCTGCCCATGTGCCCGAGCCAGCAGGTGTTCCTGTCATAGAGATGGGCAGAACTTCAGCCCTGGACTCCTGGCTCTCCAAGCCCCCACCTCTTCTTCAGTCCCTTCTTCCCTGAACCCACTTCTCCCACCACTGCCTTAGCTGTCGCTGCTTAGGGCAGGCATGTGCTGCTGTCGCTATGGAGTAGCCCACTGGCAGAAGCTCTGCTTGGACATATGCAGCCTGGCTTGAAATTCCCCCTGGGATTCTGCTAGCAGCATGGCAGCACCAGCACATGCCACCCCTCCAAGTGCTCTCTCAGCTGCTTTGGCAGGTTCTGGTTGCTGTGAGCTAGCAAAGCCGGGGCCGCTCAGGTCCATCCGTCAGCAGTGGTGTAGACAGCTTGTAACATACTGTTCCTTTTCCTGGATTTCCTTGGGTGTTGGATCATGGGCTGAGGTCAAGGACTACCGTTTTGTTCTCTGACACTGCCAGGTGCAAAGTTTGCATTAAAATAACAGTCCTTCTCCAGCATCACCCTCCTTCCTTGTGCTATGTCTGGATAGTCTTTCCAGTCTCAAAACCTTCTGTCTGGAATACAGATCAGGAACAACTCTCTGGATCATTATTTAAAGTGAATGTGTTGGGCAACATTAGGTGCACAAGGGTCTTTATAAAGGTTGCAGCCCAAGCAGATTGTTCTTGCTTACGTTGGGGGAATAACGACCCATCTAGTTCACTTAACTGAGTAGAAACGATTGGAGATGTTTGTTCTGTGGCTGACACGTTTCAAGGCTCGATGTCCTCTGCACTG